TTTGTTCTGGGAAATATTGCCCAGACTTCCTACAGTTAAGTTCCTATAGTAGAGTTCGTGTGGCTAATGGAATATGGGAAGAAGGGGTGAATTCCACTTCCAAGCATGACCTATACGTGTCTCCTTCATATGGATCTCCATTCTCTCTTGCAGTGACTTTTCAGGCCTGTATCAAGGAGGCCTGGATTTCCAAATGACTGCATAAAGCAGTCTAGACTCCACCCACCACCCTAGCTGCCAACTACGCGGCATTGTACTCTGGGGACTTGTTACAGCAGTTACATCACCCCAATAAACACACACACACACACACTTATGCCAAATAAAAAATAGCTTGAGGATTCAACAGCAACATAAACTAGCATTCAATGAGTCATGAATGACAAACCAGAATGAGTACTGGGCTGGAGGTGAGGCCCTATGAGTTCAACCCCTGACTCTGCCACTCTTTAGCCATGTGAGCTTGGGCACATCTCTTAATGTAAAAATGAGAGTATTGGACTGAGTGAATGATAAGAGCCTTGCTACAATACAGTTTTATCACCCCACTATTAGAAGCTTCATCACAAGAGAGGCATTGCCATTTAAAGAATACCAACAATTAAGGCAGGATTCCAAGAAAAAGAGATAAAGGGATTGGCTGGCTTGGAAAGGGTTTAGAGAAGAGGAGAAATCTGAGTAGATTTCGAAAGGTCTATGGAATTTAGGTAGAGAAAAGTGGGGTAGAGAGTACTGTGAGCAACAGAATACCGGCAGAGGATAGTGTTGCGCCAAACTATGTAGGAAATGGTGATCTGACAAAAAAAGCTTAAGGAGCTCTCATGTAGAGAGATGTAAGAAATGAGGCCAGAAAAGTGAACTTCATCCAGAATGGGGTCTGGACTTTATCTTACAGTTGGTGGTAAGGTGAGCCAGGGAAGGTTTCTGTGAAAAAGATGACCAGATATCCAGCAATAGAAAGGACTGGTTAGATTTAAGGAGAAAGACATCTGGTATAGAGAGACCAAGCAGGGTATTCTGCCATGCTGGATTTGTAAAGTGATAATGAGTATGAGGGAGGGAGGAACAAATGAGACCAACATATGTGAAAGCTTAAAGAAAAGACAAATTTCTATTAGGTGATGGGCAAGCTGGTTATGCACTTGAAGACAAATAAAAAAGAGAGAAGTTCTGACAATGGACCAAGAGCCCTGACAATGACCCCAAGCTCTCATCCCAGTACCATTTTCAAAAAGAGAAAATTGCAAAAATCTAAACATGTTCTCAAGACAATGTTTGGAGGCAGATGACACACAAGGCTTCAGACACATTGTCACTAACATATTTTCTTACAGGAAGGTCAGACAGTGCTCTGGGATTTAGAAGCCGGTCTAGGCCTCAAATATAGACTTGGAATAAACGGAATTTGCTGACCACAAGTAACCAGTATTTCTCTGCTCTTACTCATCTCTCCTCTAGTTCTTCCACTTGCTGGTTTCCACCATTGAGCCCCAACCCAGCTCAGCGTGAACTGAAACAGGACACTGGCTTAGTGCTCATGCCCCTGATGTTGGTGTGTGTGCCTTTCGCTACTCTGTCACTGCCTGTCAATCTTTAACCTGAATCTGTGGGTTTCAGGCATGCCTAGTGCCTTCAAGGTGCTATGTCCTCTGCTCTCCTCATCCCTTAGATATGGGACTACTAGGCAACCACCCTCCATCCTCATTTTGATCACCATTCTAATGAATTAATAGAGTTCTATTAACCCAAGAGCCCTGACAATGACCCCAAGCTCTCATCCCAGTACCATTTTCAAAAAGAGAAAATTGCAAAAGTCTAAACATATTCTCAAGACAATTTCTACTTTAGAAGAAAATACTTACATATTTTTTTGGAATTTTCTTTACCCTAAGATCTGGATATGTATCACTTTATCTCTCTTGCTCAGCCATTCAACACATTTCACTCTTTCGTCCCCTTTATAACACCATGCTTAGCCCAGAAAAGTGGGGTAGAAGTTCTGGCTTCTTTAGTAAATGTCAGGGCCACAGGCTAACACCCAGACACTAGTTAAGCAACAGACTCCACAACAGTCACTAGGTGTATGGCTCTATCTTACAGCAGATGGAGGAGAGGAGCTGCTGCTCTGGAAAGTTGCACCCCATCCTGCACCCAGCACTCAAGCTTTCATCCACAGAAGAACCACACCTTCCTGTAGTGACTCCTGAGGACAGCACTTCCCACACCCAGTGCTCAGAAACTGACTTAGCCACACACAGCACCCACTGATACGTCATGCACTTGCTTCTCGTTGGCAGCTTGGGCACAAGTGGGCTCTAAAGGTCAGTCCATCACCTTCCTTCAGGCCCTCTTAGCCCTCTGCTCAATTGCAAGGTGCCTCCTAGTCCTCACAGAGAGAGCAGTATCCATCCTTCTGACCTGAGCCTTTAGAGCTCAAGAGGCTGCCCCAGTGTTCACCCTCTGAACAGGTTGCTGGGAGTGTAATGAGAATGAGCCCAAGGCACCGCCAACTTGAGAAAAACCTGCCTTGTGAAGTAAAGAGGATAAGGATGATGTATGTCTACAAGTTCTATCTTTAATCAAAGCAAAACTGCCTCGTGAAGGCCAGTCATCTCAATTGAGACCTTACCTGATTCTTTGTCATGTTCTTTGGCCTTGGATTCCTGAAATTCAAACAATAAAGTAGCATTAATAAATTGCCAATAATGTAAATTTCTTTACATTAAGAAAATGTGCCTGAGACCAGCCTGGAGGTATAAGGTCAGCAGTCACAATAGTGAAAAAATACAGCAATAATGCTTTTGAATGACCCCCCGTATGTAGTGGCACCTCCAGTTAATCAGAACAA